CTATAAAGTTTGAAATGAATTTCTCAGTTACCATAGATTGTAACTGTGAATTTTTTTTTTTTTGGTTGGTTATGGGGCCTAAACTCTGGGCTGTCCCTTAGCTCTGCAGCTCAAGGCTAGCACTCTACCACTTGAGCCACAGTGCCACTTCCAGCTTTTTTTTTTTTTTTCTGCTTATGTGGTGCTGAGGAATCAAACCCACGGTCTCATGCATGCAAGGCAAGCGCTCTACCACTGAGCCACCTTCCCAGCCCATCCAGGGCTTCTTGCATGCAAGACAAGCTCTCTACCACTGAGCCACCTTCCCAGCCCCTGTGAAATGTTTTGAGAAGTTCTAGCTGCTCTGAGAATGTGTTACCTGTGGATCTATCCTAGTTTAAGCAGTCAGTGAAGTCTTTCCTAAGGAAATAATTTTTAGGTAAAATCTGAAGGATAAGTAAAAATTTGTGAGGTAGCAGCAGAGAATGTTCCAGAAGCTAACTCCTTACTCTCAGTATTCACTCTAGCCAAGTTGGCCTTCTTTCAATTGGTTACACACATCATGCTGCTTCTTGCCTTGGTCTGTAAGATAATTCCTGTCTTCTCCTCAAGTGTACCAATTCTTTGGTATAGTCCTCTCTTCCCCTGTTTCCTCAGTTGGAAATCTTGGTGTCATTGGTGTCATTAATTTCCTTTGAGTAGATTTGAGATTTATTAGAAAGAAGAAGGCATGAAAATTCAAGAAGACTTTCTGTCCTTGCACATCTAGATACCATATTAGTGATTGGCGTGGTTGCTTCAGCTTTCCTCTCGCCAGGGGAGTTAGTATAGGGCCCTCTTTTGCTTCTTTTTCTCTCTCTTTTTTTTAAACAATTGGTTTTTTTGTTTTGTTTTGGCAATGCTGGGTTGTGAAGTCAGGGCCATTGGGGTTGCTAAGGCACTTGGGCCAGGCCTCCAGCCCTTGGCTTCAGTCATTTTTCAGATAGGGTCTTGTGCTATTTGCTCATAGGCCATCCTTGGGCTATGGTCTTCCTAACTGTGCTTCCAGTGTAGCTGAGATTATTAGCATACAAAGTGTTTTCTAAGACTCTTTACTCTATAAAGTATTACCTTTTCGGTTGCACACGATCCAGCTTTTCCTCATTTGGGTTCTCCCTTGCCAATCCTTAGACACACACACACACTCTCTCTCTTTCTCTCCCCCCACCTCCCCTCTCTGCTTTGTTTCTCTGCAGACACTCAGAGCCTCAAGCTTTCACATGACTGTTTTGTTCAAGGCTTGCTCTCTACCACTTAATCCACAGTTCTGCTTCTGGTTTTTGATGGTTGTCTGGAGATAAGAGTTTCACAAACTTATCTGCCTTGGCTGGCTTTGAATGGCAGCTGGTCAGATATTCCTTCTGATATTTCAGCTATTTGTATAAATAATCCTTTACTGTTTGGCAGTTTTATTTAAATGATTCATCTCATTTAATTCTTTTTTTTTTTTTTTGGCCAGTTCTGGGGCTTGAACTCAGGGCCTGGGTGGCACTGTCCCTGAGCTTCTTTTGCTCAAGGCTAGCACTCTACCACTTTAGCTACAGTGCCACTTCAGGCCTTTTCTGTTTAAGTAGTACTAAAGAATCGAACCCAGGGCTTCATGCATGCTAGGCAATCACCCTACCCCTGAGGCCAATTCCCAGCCCCCAAACTTTTCCTCTTTTTCTTTTCTTCCTTTTTTTTTCAGCGGGGAGGGGATTATTGGTCATGGGACTTGAATTCAGGGCCTAGGCACTATCCCTGAGCTGTTGCACTCAAGGCTAGGGTTCTACTGCTTTGAGCCACAGCTCTAATTCCCTTATTGTAGCTTTTTGAGGTAATTGGTAGCATACTTAAGTTACAGAAGTATTCAAGATATAAATAAGAGCTAGTTTGTGACAGAATCCAGACTTTGTCAAGACCTGCTGACTTAAAACTCCTTTTCTAATCACCTTATTTTTCCTCTAAAGAAGAACTTGTCCTGAGTTACACCTAACCAGTGTGTTCTAGAAGCCTTTGTTCATATGTACTTTAATTTTTAGCAGTTACTTCCCAAAGGATGAAATAGAAGTTACATTTTAATGTATTAGTATCTCAATTAATATAATTTTGCTTTAGTATCTAAATTTTAAATGGAACTTACTTACGGAGCTGTGATGAGTACACACTTAAGATGAATGGTAGAATTGGGTATTAATAGTTAACCACCCACATCTGCAGAAGACTCTGTGCCTAACACACAATCTCCCTTTGAGACTGGTATTGTGCCTGTCTAGAAAAGGCCAGGCTGAGATCAAGAATTGAAAGATCAATACCAAGGGCTCACTTGAGAGCATAAGAATCTCCTTTTTTGCTCATTCTGTTTAATAGAAGCATCATAAAAGCTTTTAAAAACTTGCTTCATGTTCTTACAGTGCTTGGGAGCTACAAAGTGGGTGTTTAGGCAAAAAAAGGCTACTTCCTGAAGTGTTTATGCCGAGCATCATTTTTAGAGAGTTCTGCAGAATGGAATTGGGTCTGACGTCAATTCTCAGTGTGCTTTCTCTCCCCTGGAGGAATAGCCCATATGCAGAGACAGATGTGAGACTGAAATCTTTTTTACAAACCATGCTTGCAGAGAATGAGAACACTGCTGCGAGGTGGAATCTGGGAAAGAACAGAGTTTACTCTAAGCTAGCAATGAGCAAGTTGCTCTCATTGCACTTAAAAAAACTCTCTAGTCATGAAAAACCTATAAACCTAAATATTTGTAAAATGTAAATATAAATCACTTATAATAGAGAAAATGCCAGTGTAAACCACCACCCAAGGTCAGATAATAGAACATTCCCAGCACCCAAACTTTTCCAAGAATTGTTTTGGATCATGCTCACATTCCCCTTTCAGAGGCAGGTTCTGCTGACTTACATGGTAATAATATTTTGGCTTTTGGCTTTTGATATGCCATTTTTACATGCATCTCTTAAATGATTTAAGTTAGTTTTGCTTGAATTATGTTGTATTTATTTTTGTGTGTGTGTTTGTCTTAATCTTTCACTCAGTATTTTATTTTAATAATTACATTTATAGCTATAGTTCTCTCGTTAGTATGTAGTTTTTCATTGTATGTACCACTGTTTATTATTTTACTGTTAATGAATGTTTTGCTTTTTCCAATCTGGGACAACTACAAATAACATCACTTAGGATATTCTTGAACTTGTATTTTGTTGCAGGCATTTCTATTAGATATACTTTAGATGAACCATAGGAAATTGCCTATTTGATGTTTGTGGATCAAACATTAAATATAAATGATTTCATATGGGGCACCTTACTGTGTAGGTTTAGATATTAAATCACTTCCTATGATTGTTGCATCATAGGAATCCATGTGTTCAATTTTAGTAGAGTCTACCAAATAGTTTTCTAAAGATTTTTGTACCAACTTAATTTCTTACCATCAATATATAATTGTTGCTTCACATTATGGCCAGTATTTGGTATTATAATTTTTCATGTGGCTTCATAATTGCTAATGAGATTGAATATAATTTCATTTGTTTTGGCCATTTAGAGGTTTTGTGAAGTACTTAAATAATTTGCCATTTTTTATTGAGTGGTTTATCTTTATCTCATTGATTGGCAAGAGTCCTTTATATATTCTAGACATTAATTCCTGATGGCTAAACGTGTGGCCTATGTCCCCTCTCTTCTTCTATACTCATCTTTTCATGCCCTAGAAGTGTCCTTTTTTTTGTGTGGTGGTACTGGGGTTTGAACTCTATATACTTGCTAGACAAGCAGTCTTCTACTTCATCCATGCTTTCAGATCAGATATTCTTATTTTTAATCCAGTTAAATTTATCTTTTTTTTTCTTCTGGTTCAAGAACTTGAACTCAGGGACAGCCTGGTTGCTATCCTTGAGCTTCTTTTGGCCAAAGTAGTGCTCTAACACTTGAGCCATAGCTCCACTTCCAGTTTTGAGGGAGTTTATTAGAGATAAGGGTTTCATGGACTTTCCTATCTGGGCTGGCTTTGAACCATTATCCTCAGATGTCAGCCTCCTAAGTAGCTAAGATTACAGGTGTGAGCCCCGGCATCTGACTATCTTTTTCTTTTCTTTCTTTCTTCCCTCCTTTCTTCCCTCCTTTCTTCCTTCCTTCCCTCCTTCCTTCCTTTCCTTTCTTTCCCTCCCTCCCTCCCCCTCCTTCCTTCCCTCTCTCCCTCTCTCTCTCTTTCTTTCTTTCTTTCTTTTTTGGTTGGTCATGGGACTTGAACTCTAGCCTAGGTGCTGTCCTTCAGCTCTTCAGCTCAAGACTAGTGTTTTACCACTTGAACCACAGTACCACTTCTGGTTTTCTGGTGGTTAATTAAGAGATAAGAGTCTCAGCGACTTTTCTGCCCAGGCAGACTTTGAACCGTGATACTCAGATCCCAGCCACCTGAGTAGCTAGGATTACAGGGGTGAGCCACCAGCGCCTGGCTTCATTTCTTTTTTATAGTTAATGTTGGGTCTTATCCTCTGCCCTAAGCTCTGGAAGATGCTATATATTATTTGCCAAGAGGTTTATAATTTTCTTTTGTGTTTATGTGTATAGTTTATCTGAAAGAGACTTTAGTGTGTGGAGTGAGGTTGTATGTAGTCATGCCCTTTCAGTCTCTGGAGTAAAGGATGATACACTGGAAGTGGGAAATGGTGAGCAGAAGGTAGATTTTGCAGAGGTCAGTTGTGGGCACAGCTTTGGGCTGCATGAATGTCTGTGGGAGTAGAGGGACTGTACCCAAACAAGAATGAGATCACTCAGAACTTGCAGGCCTTTATGTTTGAGCAAGTGTTTGCCCTCCATGAGCCTTAAATCTTGATGTCTTATCAGAATGGAGAAAGTACTGGTATCCTTGTCAGAGGACTGGTATATTTGTTCCTTTAAAACCTTGTAAAATTCTTGAAATCGCAATTAATGTTTATTACCATGCAGGGATCTTCACAGTTATCGATGGAGAGTTTTCTTTTTCATTTCAGATTGACATCAATAAATGTCATTATTTGGTGGATTTGGATACCATGACAGAAACACCGCGGGAACCAAAATATGCATCCAATAAAGAAGAATGGATCAGCCTGGCCTACAGACCATTCCTTGATGCTTCTAGGTATGTGGCTTTATTCCTAAGACCAGTCTTTAAAAGTGAACTCTAGAATTGCGTAACTTCGGACCTAGGCTATGCTTTTTTTTTTTTTTTTCATTTGGGTCCAGTGCATAGTTTGTTTTTGTCCAGCTCCCTGAGAGTTCTAAGAGCATTCTAAGAGTATATTCTGATGTCATTCAAGTGAAAAGGTAGGTCTACTGTAGAGAACCCAAATATGTGAGTGACATTTTGGGGTCCATGAAGATGTTTCTAGAGAGGATTAATTGCAGTAATAAGACCTGACCTGAATGTAGGGTGCACCGTCCAATGGGTTAGAGACCCAGATGGAATAGAATGGAAAAGAGGAGAACCCACTAGCATAGACATATTCTCTCTGTCTCTGTCTCTGTCTGTCTCTGTCTCTGTCTCTCTCTCTCTCTCTCTCCTTTTCTCCCCCCTTCTCCTTTTCTGTTCTCTCTTTTTACTCTTTTCTCTCCTTCTTAGTTGCCATTATATAGATGCTCTGCCTCAGCCTCCCTACCATGATGGACTAAAACTCTGCAACCATGACACAAAATAAACATTCCCTGGCTTGAGTTATTTTGCTTAGGTATTCTGTCACAGTGATGTACATGTCTTGACTAACATATATTCCATAGTTTAAATATACCACAGTTTGTTTATCCACTCAACTATCAAAGGGCATCTACTTGCTTCCAAGTTTTGTCAATTGTCTTAGTTCATACTATAACAAATTACCATGGACTGGGTAGTATAAACAACATTTATCTTTCACGGTCCTGGAGGCCGGAAGTCCAAGATAAGATGCTAACAGTCAGATTGCAATGAGGTTCCTCCTCCAGGCTGCAGGTACTTTTTGTTGTTGTTGTTACCACTTCCCCTGTTCTTTCCAAGTTTTTCCCTCCTATCCCCACCCACAAGTTGTAAAATTCATTTTCAACGTGGTGTCCAGTGAGTACCATTGTTGCATTTATTTACTCTTTGTCCCTCCATTTGCAGGTTCTTCTTGCATTGGCACATTGGCCTCTGAAAGGTCACTTATCCCATTCTTTTTTTTTTTTTTTTTTTTCTGTCAGTCATGGGGCCTGAACTCTGGGCCTGGGCACTGTCCCTCAGCTCTTCAGCTCAAGGCTAGCACTATACCACTTTGAGCCATAGCACCACTTCCAGCTTTTTCTGCTTATGTGGTACTGAGGAATCAAACCCAGGGCCTCATCCATGCAAGGCAAGCACTCTACCACTAAGCCACCTTCCCAGCCACACTTAACCCATTCTTGAACTCTACCCTCATGGCTAAGTTTACTTCCCAGAGGTCCAATTCAGAATACCATCCAGTGGAGAATAGATTGCAAATATGAACTTTGAAGATTTCTTTTCCAAAATGCTTTGGGCCAGAAGTATTTCATATTTTAGATTCTGGAATACTTGCTTATATATAAGGAGATAGCTAAGCACTAAACACAAAATTCATTTATTTCTCATATATACTTTATACATATAGCTTGAAGGTAATTTTTAAATATATTTTTATTTTTGAGTAGTTGTACAAAGTTGAGGTAATTTTATCAATATTTTAAATAATGCTATTTATGAGACAAATTTTTATGGCATGTAAGTTTCCACTGATGGTACCATGATAAAATTCAAGATATTTTGGCTTTTGGACCTTTTTGGGTTTTACATTTTCAGGTTATAGATGTTCAACCAGTATAAAATAAATGTCCAGGTTTCTATGTGAACATGTTTCCATCTCCTTTGGGTAAATAGCAAGCCATGTGATTGTGGATTATATGGAATGAGTGTTCAGTTTAGTTTTGTTTTTTTCCTGGTTCTAGGGCTTGAAATCTGGGCCTGGCCACTGTCACTGAACTTCTTTTGCTCAAGGCTAGTGCTCTATCACTTGAGTCACAGCACCACTTCTGGCTTTTTTGAGTAGTTTATTGGTGTAATAGTCTCACAAAGCCAGGTGCTGGTGGCTCACGCCTATAATCCTAGCTACTGAGGAGGCGAGATTTGAGGAACTTGGTTCAAAGCCAGCCTGGGCAGGAAAGTCTGTGAAACTCTTATCTCCAATAAACCACTAGAAAACCGAAGTGGCCCTGTAGCTCAAGTGGTAGAGTGCTCGCCTTGAGCTGAAGAGCTGAGGGATAGCGCTCAGGCCCAAAGTTCAAGCCCTACGACTGACAAAAAAAAAAAATAGTCTCACAGACTTTCCTGTATGGGCTGGCTTCAAACAGCAATCCTCAGATCTCAGCCTCTTGAGTAGCTAGGATTACAGGTGTGTGCCACCAGCACCCGACAAATGTTGAGTTTTATAAGAAGCTACCATATTATCTCTCTCAGAATGCCATATTATCTCTCTCAGAATGATTACCATTTTTCATTCTTTCCAGCCGTGAATTAGTCTGTTGTTCTACATTCTTGCAAGCATTTAGGATTGTCATAGTTCTGGATTTGGGTACATATTATGTATGCAGGTATATATATGTATGCAAAATAGGTGTAGAGTAGTATCTTTTTAAAAAATCTATTTTATTATAAAGATGCTGTACAGAGGGGTTACATTTACATGAGTAAGTTACATTTTTTTTAATTTTCTTTTTTTACCCATCCTTTCCCATCTCCCATCCCCTCCAGCCCCCCCTGCCCACCCAAAGTTGTAAAGTTCATTTTTTCGACATAATGACCTGTACATCTCATTGTTGCAATGGGTCCACATGTATAGAGTGGTATCTTGTTTTAATTTTTATCTCTGACAATACATGATGTGATGGCTTCACCAGTAGAGTGTAGGGTTATAGGTTGAGAAGAAAGAGTAAGAGATGAAGTGTTGGAGATTTGAGGTGAGAGAAAATGTGAAATAATTGAGGATACTAAAAGGCAAAAAGAGCTAGAGAAATGTAGTGTGACTGGAGAGCAAGATCCAGAATCTGCTGCTTCTCTGTTTAATCAGGGGCTTAGAGACACTTAGCCAACTCTATTAGTTTGAGGGAGAATCCAAGAATAAGATCACAACCAATTTCTAGCTCTGGTCCCAGAGCCCCAGCTTCCTCTCTTTGAGTTTACCATGTTTGTAGCTGGCTGATTTTACAAAGGATTACAGGCTCCCTGGATGTGGAGTCTAAACTAGTTGACAATATCACCAACTAAGAACATTGTCACTCTGGCCATCTCATGCCACATACTTTATAAAAATGAGAGAGGGTTTTTTTTTTCTTTTTTAGAATCATGACATAATTGCTACTTGTATAAAATAGCCTGAAAAGTGGGTGGATATAATGCCTACTCTGAGATTCCTGGGGAGAAGCAATGGGAGAGTGGTACCGTCAATTGCCAGCTTGGTGGTGGCTTGCTTTCTGAATGTGGTGAGCGTTTTTTGGGCTGTGGGCGCCTGGTGGGAAGTGGCTCTCCAGGATGCCAGACTTGTCCTCCTGGGCCACGGAGTCTGTTGGTGCAGCTACTTTCCACCCACTGCTTCCTCCTTCATTATAGCTTCCTTTTGGCTTATGTGCTTTACTTTCATTTGTAGTTCCTGGATTGTGAGATTTTATTCTTCCATATTTTGGAGCATATTAGCCTCCAAATGAATTTCAGGCTTGTTTGATGAGAGGCTTGAGAATTTAGATAGGAAAAGATTCCAAAGCCCTGCCTGTTTATAATTATGGGTGAAGAACAGATGCAAGAAAAGCTAGGAGTCCAACCTTTCTGCTAGTGTACAGGAGAGGGGCCTTTTCCTCTCAGAGGGCCTCTCAGCACAGTCAGGTGGGGACTGCTGATGAGCTATGCCGCTTTGTTGATTCTGGGTCCAGCAGAAGATTCACAGAGGCCAATGAGCTGTGGCGGCTCTGGAGAATATATTAAGCCCATGCCTTTCCTTTTAGCCTCTAAGAGGTGAACCCAGTAGCTGTCAGGCCCAGAGTCCGTGGCACCCCATGTGTCTGTGTCCATTTGTGTCCTGTGTGGTAGGGTAGGCTGTTTGATGAGACTCATCGTTTCCCCGCAGGCTCTAGCTCAGTCTATTGGTTTGCTTTTTGTTTGTTTTGAGTAATAGCTATACAGGATAAATGAATTGGAAATTTATATTCTAGTTATTGTGGTGTAGCAGGCACTCAAAGTAGTGATACACAGTATTACTGTTTTCCCTTGTGGTTCTAGGTGCTGACTAGGCTCAACTAGTCATTTCTGACTCAGGCTTGCTTATGCACAGCTGAGAAATGATGGATGAGGCTGGAGACATTCTAGCAATGGACGCTGGCTGTTGGCCAGAATAGGTAACCTTATCCATGTGATCTGGGCCTGTGTACAGCATGGTAGCTGACTCCCAAAAGGAAGCATCGCAAAAGCAATCCAGTCTTCTTTTTTTTTGTGTCAGTCGTGGGGCCTGAAGTCTGGGCCCTGGGCGCTGTCCCTCAGCTCTTCAGCTCTTCAGCTCAAGGCTAGTGCTCTACTACTTGAGCCACAGTGCTACCTCCAGCTTTTTCTGCTTATGTGGTGCTGAGGAATCAAACCCAGGACCTCATGCATGCAAGCCAAGACTCTCCCACTGAGCCACCTTCCCACCCCTCCAGTCTTCTTATGAGTGAACTTTGGGATGCATATAGGATCACTTACGTCTCATATTGTGTTGGATAGAAACAAGTTTGTAGACTAGCCCATGTTCAAAAGGAGAAGAGTTAGTTTCCCTATTTATGGCAAAAGCAATGAGAATTTATGAACATGTCTTAAAAGTACTTCAGCTCTCTTAAGGCTAGTCTCCTGAGTTAAGTAATTTTTCCTTTCCAAGATTTTGTTTATTTATTTTTTAGACAAATGGTGCCTAAAGGAGTCCAGCAGGCTGCTTCCCTCTGGGCTTCTTAGTATGCAGTTGCGAGGGTGACTATACCTGTGGCACAGCTTGGTTGTGGGCCCATGGGATGACGTGCTCTTTTGGTGGAATTGGTTCTTCCTCCTGAGTAGTAGCTGGCATGCTCTTGTCTTTTCCCAGCATAATAGTCCCGGTGATC